GCCGGTTGTGTAGCTTCACTACCACCGACAACCTCCCACAAGTCTTGACCTTGAAGGTAAGACTCTATACACGTTGCCCACGTGTTATAGTTTTGGCTGTTGAGCTTCTTGATTCCTCCAACAACTTGAAGATCACCCATCGTATCGGCAAGACTTTGACTACACCGAGAAAGCTTGAGTGACTACCGTGCAGAGTAATACACTACTCTCGACACAAAGAAGCTCCCTCTCAAGGTTTGTGATAACCCCAACAATAATCTCAAGAAACCTTTTCTGATGTGGAAGATCAGTCAAAACTGCAACCACAGAGCATACTCGGAATTCCAAGAGACTTTACAACCAATGCTCTACCAAGAACGATCCCTGACCGACTTGGCTCTGATACCAATTGTTGAATAAGAAGAGTATCCAAGATAACTCTAATGATCCCAAGAAGAAGAAAATAGAACACACTCTTAAAGAAAGCTCACAAAACAAACTAATTAGCAAAGCTTTTCTTAATTAGCTCTAGGCTTTGTATTTCCTTGGATGATTTACAATGCTTGAGGACTTGGGTATTTATAGCAAACCAAATGAATAAACTAAGATTATTTATTACCACACAAAACACATTAATTGCACCTAATTTATTTTTATTCAACCATGCCTAACATTGCCTAATTTTCCATACCTAACTTTGACATTGATTTTCAACAGTCATAACCTGTCTCCACCTACGGACACTAATTCTATCTCCTTTACACACTCAGACATAAGTTTCCTACTCCTGGATGTGGAAAAAAAAAAAAAAAGGTAACATCTTCGACAAATGCAAATGAGACATCCATATAGCGTCCCTAAAGGATGATTTTTTTAATTTACACTGTCAAAGTCTACCAGTTGACATGAGAGGGTGCAAGTGCAACCACAACTACGGTTCTAGTTCTACAATCCGCTCGAAAGATGAGAAACACAACTATGGTCAATTTTTCTATTCTATCAAGTCTAATTTCTGAAAGGTGAAAACACATAAAATCTCATGTTTATGCTGTTAACCCTACACAAACTTAATTTCTAGCCTTGCATCTATGAATAGAGTAAGTACAATCTTCCTAGCATCTGTCATTAGCAACATGGTCAATTACGAATACAATCTTCCTAGCATCTGTCATTAGCAACATGGTCGATTACAATTGATCAATAATATTTCAGATCTGCAAAGTTTATATATGGTTCTAGTTATACAATGGAGTAGAAAGATGAGCTCTAAGCTCATACTGTTAAACACATTTGAACTTCATCCAAGAATGAAAATCGCTAATACATGAAATCATGTATATATGTTTTGTTCGTATATATGTATGTGTGCATGTAGCACATAGACTTACATGCACAGTTCGCATTTGATTCAAATCTGCAAGAGCCTTGTTCCTCGACTGCCAAGGAAGAAAAAAAATTAGTCAATGATTGAAAGAGAGAAGGACTTTCATAAAGATCCATTTTAAAGAAGCATTAAGGCTTAGCCAATTAAATTCGTAAAATGGAAGAATAATGCACAGAAAATTCTTGATTCTAATTTAAGGAAGCTTCCACCCTCCTATGCAGTCCCTGCAAAACTGAAGTCACGCACAGGTGTCTACCTTCCTACTACTGTTTGCTGCAACAAATTCGGTGAAAATTGAAATAGAAACCCAGAGTGTAATCAAATAAGTGTCAAGAGAAGCAATATCTTCTCTGATCATTGAGAAAAAGGTCACTGACAAAAAACACAGCCAGGCTACTAACATAACTGAATTTGTTAAAAATTGGCATGATGAAGATCTCTTGCATGAATTCATGGTATAGCACAAGAAACAGCGGAATTTTGAAAAAGAAAATTGTGAATACCAGCTGATTGCTTGCCCAACGTTCATAATAATGAGTGTATTTCTCCAGAGAATTTTTTGCCATTTCTCTTCTTCTCTCAGCTTCATCATACTACAATCAATAATACAAACTCTAAGTAATAGAAGAAAAAGAATGCTTTTCTTCCAAAAGGGGAAATAAAACAGAATTACTACAAAGAAAAGTATAAATCATCCTTACAGCTCCCTCTTGCTTAGCTGCCTCGTAGCGGTTACATGCATAGAAACCACCCGTCCTTTCACCATGCTCCGCCCATGAACCAAGGCAAAGCCTGCACGGTGCATATAATTCATTTAGCATCACATGTAAAACTTAACCATATTAGAACAGAATCAAAAGAAAAGTATTCAGATATTTTTTTCCAACAATAATAAATTTCCATTGAAGTAAGAAACAGAAGCAGAAAGCATACCAGCAAAATTCAAATTTGCAGGGTGGTGTGCATGTCATGTGCATACATCCTTGGTTTTTTTCGATAGGCCGCTTGCACTTTGGACATGGCTTAGAATTGGCCAGTATCCTGAGCATCATTAAAAAAGGTTAGGACAGAACAATACAAAATGAATCGTGAATTACCAAGAATTCCACCAACTCACATAAAAGTGTTGATAAAAGTTAACTTTCAATGGAGTATTTGAAACTAAAACTAATCATGTTTTCACTTTGCACCACTCAATTCAACATAATTAATGAATATACTTCCAGACGTTACAGGACCAGTGACGCAGCATCGTGCCCTACACTAGGCCATGAAAATTAAATTCAAACGAGCATGTTTTAGTTTATTCACAGTCCCGTATCATGTGTAGCACCCAAACAGAACATTGCATTAATGTTATCCAACATGATCCAAAGCAATCTAACCCTCCGTCCTAATCCAATCCGAGTTACCAAACATGGTCTGAGGCAAAAATTTAAGAGGATTTCTGACGCTAGACACACTAACCCATGCACACACGCGTAACTTGCGCATAAAACCTATTACCAAAAAAGTTAATATTTCCCCACAATTTATCACATTAAATTCCCTTGCATACCAAAAGCAGTGGAAGTTATCAAATCAGCACACGAAAATTAGTGAAAAATAAAGGTTAGAGAAGGAGAAGAAAAACATAATACTCTAATTATGACAAGCACATAATGAAGGGGTATTCTTACCATGGAAACAACCAGAAAGCCAATAAATGTATCAAAAGAGAAATGCATTAAATAAAAGTGTAAAACCACAAAATACAATTTTGGATGCTAAGAGAAAATACAAACCAGTTCATGTTTTCAGACTCAGCACTGTTGTTTGAAATCCATTTCTCCACAGTGCTACAGTCGACAGGACGACAATACAAAGTTTAATACATGGGTACAAATTAAAACTAAAAATAAAATATTACAAATTTAAAAAAAGGTTGCAAATTAAAAGTGGGTACAAACTAAAAATATAAATATATGATACAAAGTTTAGCCATAAACATAAATATACCATATGTAATTTTTCTATCATTGATTAATTATACAATGTCACATGATGGTAAACAAATGGGCAAAAAAATAAATTAATATATGGGTACAAATTAAAACTGAAAAGAAAATTGGTACAAATTAAAAAAGGTTTGCAAATTAAAAATGGGTACAAACTAAAAATAAAAATATATGATAAAAAATTTAGCCATAAATATAAATATACTAATTGTAACATTTTTAACACTAAATGAATATATTTAGAAATAAAAAATATTTTATTATTAAAATAATTAATGATGTTATTAATACCCAAGGATCTTGATCAAAAATTGAAAAGGAATAAAATTTTAATCAATAGAGTAGCAAAAGGAGAAATGAGAACCTAATTTCTGCTTAAAATTGTCAACCTGGCATTATTGAGTACTGAAACACATAGATAACACCATTTTTTTTAACATGACTTTTTTATCATGATAACATTAGCTTTCTATAAACAAAGTAATGAGATAGACGTTTGATAAAGTTGATACATTAACATGTTCTCTTTGATATTGTTATTGAAAAGCCAATCTTAAGGACATTTATAGATGTTTTATATTATTATTAATAATAATAATTCAAATCTTGGGTAGCCAAAAACATTTCAGATTTATTGTACAACTTTGGGTTTGCATCTCTATAAATAGACAAAATAAAATCGCTTTTGAATCTTTTATTAATTCAAATCTACACCTAAAGAAGTGAAAAAACACGGGCTAGACTGTGAGGGTGCGTTTGTTGCACCGGATTGTCTCGGACTGGACTAGCTTTAGGAACTAAGCTGGATTGGCTTAGACTAGACTAAACTGGACTGGCTTAATGAAGCGTTTGGTGTAGCGTTGGACTAAGAAGCTAGACTAACAATAAATTATTATTATTATAATATTTTAATTTATTTTTTATTAAAAATATCAAAATGAATATATGAAAAAATAAAAGGGCATAGCCCTCTTCTTCTTCACAAATTGCAGGTGCTTTTGCAACTTGGAGAATTATCAAACTTTCATCGACTCAAATTGATAGTAAATAGAACCAAATTTGCAGTTTAGAAGATGAACGAGCCTTGTATAAGATTTCTTGAACATTGGTTTCACCCTCACCCTCACCGACAGTTCCACTCAATTCGTTGGATTTTTGTAAGACTACCATAAGCCTTAATGTAAAAGGTATTGATTAACTGGAAAAGATCATATACCAGCAGAAATTAATGAGTTAATAACAAAACATATCACAATTTACATAGAACAACTTTGTATTTCAATTCATAAAAGGAAAAATAGCAGATAAATTGAAAACAAATGGGTAGCAATCAAAACCCAGAAACCAATCAAATATGAGAAATCAATTAAACAAATCGATCAAAAACAAAAATCTATCAAAACCCATTAATAATTTGACGAATCTTCAAAACAAAACTGAAGAAAACTAAGAAGAGAAAGTGGCAGAGGAAGTTGTGATTTACGAGGACGTGACGGTGGTCCTGGGATGGTCCAGCGAGGTTGTCAAGCAGGATGAGGAGTCGAGCAGAGCAAGGAGCCGAGTGGGACAACGCAAGAGAAAAGAAGTGTCTTAGCAATCGGGTGGTGGTTGGGGGGGGGGTCTTGCTAAGACTATCTAGCGAGCCCCATAGTCGAGGCGAGTGAGGTTTAATCCCACTAAAGTTAGTCCCTTCCTCTAACAAACATGGGACTATAGTAACACCTAATCTAGTCTCCAGTCCCACTTAATGAAGGCAAACAAACGTTCCTTAAGAGCTCAACAACATGTCTCATACTTGAATTTATACAAAAATTTAAGAAAAATTAATAAAGTAGTCCAACTTTATTAATTTTTCTCAGTTCAGGTCTAGATGACAAAAATATTGTAAATTAAGGTACAAACCTAATTATTTCCATGAATTTGAGCAGTAATAGAAAGTATATACTACTACAGGCACTTGCAAGGATTAGAAAGGTCCACTCGCATGGCCTTCAACATTCATTCTTTTTGTTGCCACAGTAGAGGCATTTCTTGAAGAAACATGGGTACGTAGTATCAAATCTTGGAGTTGCGACAGGAGAGACTGCACCCCGTCTTCGTGTGTGACATACGTTTACATGCCTCAACGCACATGCTTGACGTCCATGTTGGATATTATATGCGTCACCGGTTGTGTCTTGGCCCGTTCGTTAGTGCGGAAATGAGATTCAGACTACAACCTCACCAAAATACAAACCCACGGTTGAATAATTTAAAATACAAGAAATAAAGACACCGAGAGAATTACGAGGTTCGGAAAAAACCTGTCTATGTCCCCAGAGAGATATTGCTCTTTACTATGAGAATAACAGTACAAGTTACACATGAGTTAAATCGACATAATCCAATTCTAATCCCAAACCCGTGTACACCTACTCGCATAATTTTTCCAAGAGCCTCAGTTCTTTCACTAGAATACTTTTCACTCTAACTCCCTTGATTTTCTCTCAACCCATGGTCAACCTTTCCAAAGGGAGAGTCGGATACTCTCCCCCTTGGATGCTTCTATGATGCTTAACTTTCCACTTTCGAAGACCAAAAAGTCTGAAGTTCATGTAACATAATCAACACCTAGCCTACCTAGCATGCACCCCTTTCTATCCCTAGCCTACAGAGTACAACTTTTTCTCCATTTGCCATTTAATGCATAGAAAATAAAACATGCACAATTTCATGCAAGCAAACACAAAGTCACGGTTGCTGCAATTTCCTTGTAGCATTCACATGGTCTCAATTGTGGTCATATTGAAGACTAATAATATTCAAAAATTCCAAGCGTCAACTCCACGTTTGACGGGAAGACTTGACGGGGTCAGTCAACACTGGCACCATACAGCTCTTTGATTGAGCTGAAAATCCTTTCAGAAATTCCAAACGTAAAGAAAGGATTAGAAAATCTGCACCTCCAAAGTTGTTACTAGCTCCACACACCTTTATTCCCAGCCCATCAAATTTCCTCAAGCATTAATATACTTTTTTGCCATGATTTTCGAATAATTTAGACAAAACATTTTCCAAACATGGATTGTACACATGTTTAATGACTTTGAAACAAAAAATGACCACATTTTAATTAGCAAAATATATTTCAAGTAAAAATAGGATAGAATTGGCCAGTATCCTGAGCATCATCAACAAAGGTTAGGACAGAACAATACAAAACGAAACATGAATTACCAAGAATTCCACCAACTCACATAAAAGTGTTAATAAAAGTCAACTTTCAATGGTGTATCTGAAACTAAAACTAATCATGTTTTCACTTTGCACCACTCAATTCAACATAATTAATTAATATACTTCCAGACATTACAGGACTAGTGACCCAGCACCGAGCCCTACACCGGACCATGAAAATTAAATTCAAACGACCATATTTTAGTTTATTCAGAGTCTCGTATCCTGTGTAGCACCCAAACATAACATTGCATTAATGTTATCCAACATGATCCAAAGCAATCTAACCCTCCCTCCTAATCCAATCCGAGTTACCAAACATGGCCTGAGGAAAAAATTTGAGAGGATTTCAGACGCTAGACACACTAACCCATGCACACACGCGTAACTCGCGCATGAAACCAATTACCAAAAAAGTTAATATTCCCCACAATTTATCACATTAAATTCCCTTGCATACCAAAAGCAATGGAAGTTATCGAATCAGCACACGAAAATTAGTGAAAAATAAAGGTTAGAGAAGGAGAAGAAAAACATAATACTCTAATTATGACAAGCACATAATGAAGGGGTATTCTTACCATGGAAACAACCAGAAGGCCAATAAACGTATCAAAAGAGAAATGCATTAAGTAAAAGTGTAAAACCACAGAATACAATTTTGGATGCTAAGAGAAAATACAAACCAGTTCATGTTTTCAGACTCAGCACTGTTGTTTAAAATCCATTTCTCCACAGTGCTACAGTCGACAGGACGATGAGCTTCCTCTGTACACTGCACAGCCAGAACAAAATTTGACTCACCTATATAGATAAGTTTTCGCTGAGATATTAAATACCAAAAGTTACAAAAGGAAACTTACATTCCAGCTAAATCCATAGGAGCAGAGGCAAGATACATCATAATTTTCATTGTCACCAACAAAATTAACAGCATATTCACAACCCGGATAAGGACACCACTTGGTCTAGCAGCAAAGAAAAAGAATTACAAATCATGGTGAGAAAAATGGAAAAATATGAAGTAAGAAAAATGATATTCATAAATTCCACTATACCACACAAGAGTAATAGAGAGGAACACATCATTGTTCCATCAAAACGAAAATAAACCACTAATAAAAAAATGATACTCATATATTCACACTCACACGCCCACACAGGCACAGGAGTAATTGAAAAGAAAAGAAACCACCAATCATTTTTCAATATAGTAATTAAAATTGGGGATACTTTGGATGCGGTCCCTAATTCTTAACACTCTTTGATTAAAACCTTAATGGTATTCAAAGTTTGGTCAAAGTTCCTTGAATTTGAACACCTCATTATATTACTATTGATATTTATATTTTTATAGTTTTGACATTAATTGTTTGATATTTTATGATATAATCCTATAAATTTAAAATCCCTTATTATGATACTATTAAAAACGGCTACAATAAAAAAATTCAAACATTTTGATTGAATAAATGGATAAAAACTATGTAACAATAAGAAATAATAGTGTTAAAAAAAATTGGTACATTTCTCATAGAACAAAGTGTTAAAAAAAAAACAGATGGCGAAAGAATGTAGCCATAGTGTTAAAAAAACTGGTACATTTCACATATAACAAAGTGGTAAATTAGCAAAGAAGAACGGGTACATTATAAATAAATTAGGGTACAAATAAAAGATTAAAAAATTATGAGTACAAATGAAATTTAAAAAAATATGGGCACAAAAAGAAATTAATACATGGGTACAAATTAAAACTAAATATAAAATACTACAAATTTAAAAAAAGATTACAAATTAAAAGTGGGTACAAACTAAAAATATAAATATATGATACAAAGTTTAGCCATAAATATAAATATACCATATGTAAATTTTCTGTTATAGAGTACAACTTTTTCTTCATTTGCCATTTAATGCATAGAAAATAAAACATGCACAATTGCATGCAAGCAAACACAAAGTCACGGTTGCTGCAATTTCCTTGTAGCATTCACATGGTCATCAATTGTGGTCATATTGAAGACTAATACTATTCAAACATTCCAAGCGTCAACTCCACGCTTGACGGGAAGACTTAACCGACCGGGTCAGTCAACACTGGCACCATACGGCTCTTGATTGAGCTGAAAATTCTTTCAGAAATTCCAAGCGTAAAGAAAGGATTAGAAACTCTGCACCTCCAAAGTTGTTACTAGCTCCCATATTTATTTGTGACGCATACAGACTGGCGAAAAAACATATCATACTGCAACTCAAAACCATGACATTTCTTTATATGCTCCTGCTGCTGTCCGCATTGCCACTGATCAAAACGACATCAATATCGCCAAGAAAACAAGCAGAATCGCTCGTCAAATGGAAGGACGACTGGTCTTCATCATCATCGCCACCTTCGCTACTCAATTCATGGTCCCTCACCAACCTCAACAGCCTCTGCAACTGGACTGCCATTTCCTGCTCCAAAACCAGAACAGTCTCCAAAATAGACCTCTCCAATATGCAAATTTTCGGAACACTGTCCCTTTTCGACTTTTCCTCATTTCCAAATCTCACCCACTTCAATCTAAATGGCAACGATTTCCATGGGCCTATACCGTATACCATTGGAAGTCTCTGTAGGCTCACATCTTTGGACTTGGGCAACAACTTTTTTTATTATCAAATTCCATCTGAGATTGACCAGGTAACAGAGCTTCAGTATCTAAATCTCCGCAACAACCGTCTCTCTGGTACCATCCCTTATCAACTGAGCAATCTCCAAAAGGTACGGTACATGGACCTTGGATTAAACTATTTTAACAATACTGATCAAGATTGGTCAGAATTTGCAGGCATGCCCTCATTGACCTACCTTGCTATGTCTATGCAACGTGATAGTCTATATCATTCAGAATTCCCAGAATTTATATCTCAATGCCGGAACTTAACGTTCCTCGACTTGTCTCAAATTAATTTGAATGGCCAAATTCCACCTTCGATAGGCCAACTCAGGGAGCTCCAGTACCTTGATCTTTCATACAACTCCTTAAACTCTTCTATCCCTTCTGAGCTTGGTCGTTGTACAAACCTCACCCACTTGTCCCTAGCTTCCAATAAACTAAACGGGGAACTGCTTCTGTCCTTGTCCAATCTGAACAACCTCGTCAAATTGAGTTTAGCTAATAACCGATTTTCTGGCACGATTCCGGACAATATAGGTTTGATTTCTGGTCTTCAAAGTATTGACTTGAGAAGGAATAATCTGGAAGGGAAAATTCCATCCTCTGTAGGCCAAATCAGGGAGCTCCAGTACCTTGATCTTTCATACAACTCCTTAAACTCATCAATCCCTCTCTCTATAGGCCAACTCGGGGAGCTCCAGCACCTTGCTCTTTCACACAACTCCTTAAACTCTTCTATCCCTTTTGAGCTTGGTCTTTGTACAAACCTCACCCACTTGTTCCTGGCTTTCAATGAACTCAACGGGGAACTGCCTCTGTCCTTGTCCAATCTGAACAACCTCGTCGAATTAGGTTTAGCTCATAACCATATCTCTGGCACGATTCCGGACAATATAGGTTTGATTTCTGGTCTTCAAAGTATTGACCTGAGAAGGAATAATTTGCAAGGGAAAATTCCATCCTCTGTAGGCCAAATCAGGGAGCTCCAGTACCTTGATCTTTCACACAACTCCTTAAACTCTTCTATCCCTTTTGAGCTTGGTCTTTGTACAAACCTTACCCACTTGTTCCTGGCTTTCAATGAACTCAACGGGGAACTGCCTCTGTCCTTGTCCAATCTGAACAACCTCGTCGAATTAGGTTTAGCTCATAACCATATCTCCGGCACGATTCCGGACAATATAGGTTTGATTTCTGGTCTTCAAAGTATTGACCTGAGAAGGAATAATCTGCAAGGGAAAATTCCATCCTCTGTAGGCCAAATCAGGGAGCTCCAGTACCTTAATCTTTCATACAACTCCTTAAACTCATCAATCCCTTCTGAACTTGGCCTTCATACAAACCTCACCCACTTGTCCTTGTCTTCCAATAAACTCAGTGGGGAACTGCCTCTGTCCTTGTCCAATCTAAGCAACCTCGTTGAATTGGGTTTAGATAATAATCTATTTACTGGTCAAATCCTTCCTTCTCTGGTCTCCAATTGGATTAATATGGAATCTTTGCAACTTCAGTCCAATGAACTCAGTGGGGAGATTCCGATGGAAGTTGAAAATATGAACTTTCTGTTGACGCTCAATCTAAGAAGGAACCACTTGACAGGAGCGATCCCTCAGATTCTAGGCAATTTAGATCTGCTTAAGCTGCTCGATTTGTCACACAACCATCTTTCGGGGCAAATCCCATCATTTGTTTTTCTTGGTGATGTTAATTTTTCTTACAACAACTTGACTGGCCGAATCCCATGCGTTTTCCAATGGGCACCAGAAAATGCTTTTGTTGGAAACTCTGGGTTGCGTGGGTATGTAGACTCGTGTGTAGACAGTATACCCCCTCGGCCCAACGTACCCCCTCGGCACAACAGAAATTTCAAAAAGGATAACAAAAGAGTTCTAATTGGTATCCTTGTGCCTGTTTGTGGTTTATTAATGGTTACAACTGTCATTGGTCTTATGTTCCGTAAAAAATCCAGTCTCGTTTTGAACAAAGTCAACACTTCTGAAAACTTTGAGAGTTTGGAGTCGATGATATTGCAAGAGGAAGTAAAGTTTACGTTTGGGGAAGTTGTGAAGGCTGTGGATGACTTTCATGAGAAGCACTGCATTGGGGCAGGAGGGTTTGGAAGGGTTTACAAGGCAGAGTTGCAATCAGGCCAAGTTGTTGCAGTTAAAAGGCTTAACATGTCAGACTCTAATGATATTCCAGCAATCAATCTCCATAGCTTTCAGAATGAAATTCGAACTTTGACAAGCATCCGGCACCGTAACATCATAAGGCTCTACGGCTTCTGTTCAAGGAGGGGTTGCATATTCTTGCTTTATGAATACTTAGAGAAAGGAAGCCTGGGAAAAGCTTTGTATGGAGTTGAAGGTGTTAATGAACTCGTTTGGGCAACTAGAGTCAAAATTGTGCAAGGACTTGCTCATGCACTTTCTTACTTGCACCATGATTGCTCTCCACCAATTGTGCACCGTGACATAACCGTCAACAATGTATTGCTTGAGTCTGATTTCGAGGTTCGTCTCTCAGATTTCGGAATAGCCAGGTTATTGAGTACTGATTCATCCAACTGGACAGATATCGCTGGTTCATTTGGCTACATAGCACCAGGTAATGTAAACTTAATTTGTACATTTATGGTTCATCTTTTTGCTTATTGGGATACATTTTAAGGTAGCCAGTTTTGTTTTTATTGATGTGCAGAGCTTGCATACACTATGCGAGTCACGGATAAGTGTGATGTATATAGCTTTGGAGTGGTGGCGCTCGAAGTCATGATGGGAAGGCACCCAGGAGATATGCTAGAGTCCCAGCTACAAGAATCATCAAAATCAAGGAGGGACAATGTAGAATTGCTCCTGAAAGATTTGTTAGACCAAAGGTTGGAACCGCCAACCAATGAATCTGCAAAGGCAGTGGTGCTTGTAGTGATAATGGCCTTGGCCTGTATACGAACGCGTCCTGCGTCCAGACCCACGATGTTATTTGTGGCACAAAAACTCTCAGCTCAAACCCTGCCTTGTCTTCCCGAACCATTTGGTATGTTGACAATCAACAAGCTAATGGCACTATAAAAAAAAAAAAAGAAGACAAGGGCGAATAGTTCAAACTTCCCTTTTGTATTCCTGCCACACGCAGTTCCATCTAATTTCTCGTGTAATACATCTTCAGTACTGTAATTACTCATTTGTATTATTTGTCGAATGTGGATTAATGTGTGATGAATTTTCTTAATCTTAATTGCATTAAACCGATAATCCATGTCCTTCCTCTAGTTCAAAGAGCTACCCTAAAAAATTGAACCTACATGGATCATTTTCGCCATGGATTATTTTGAAAGCAAACACATATGGAACTACAGGATGCAATCTGACCTTGCATCTTTGAACCATGTTGCGCGTCGAAGTACATTTGATCTTCCAGGCATTCTTGAACTTTTCCGCTATGTCAAATATAGGTTTGTGCCTTTCCTCTCTAAATCTGCAACAGCCAGAACTGCCTTCACGTTCACAATACAGCACAATAGAAGACACTTTAACACGACAATCTGTTAAATTAGCAAATGGGGAAGTGGTGGAATAACACCGTAGTATTGTGAGCAAGTCTCGGGTGTCCCTGTGGCTTTGGAACCACCCACATAATGATAAACAAGCGTGGCTGCTTTGCCTCAATCCAACACTGACCAGGACATCAAATCTATAGCTTCTGTGCGTTGAACCAAATCCCATCAGGAGTTGTTCTCATAATCCTTGAATTATAATTGTAACTCTTTTAGTTTAATCGTTGTCCTACACGGATCCATCAAACCAAAGGCACATGTGGATTGGAGACATGGGGAGACAGTATGGTATCTGCTTATTGGTTGGCTGGCTTCAAACGATTTTTGAGCTGAAATTTTCTTGCAAAAGTAATAAACAAGAAAAGAGAATGCGGCAATAGGGATTACAGTGAAATGTAAACAACCTACAAATAAGTTGACTGTGCAGAAGTTGCTGAAAGAGCGAAAATAACTGGATGAGATGTGACCCTTATCGCATTGGACTTCTATTGTCAGGTGATACTTTCAGGCCACGCTGTGCCTTAAACCGACTGTATATGATTGTTAAAAGACTGACCAAGACTGTTATAAGCATCCAGATTTTCACTTTGTGGTTCATTCATCTACACAATGAGAAACGCTCTACAATCAAACTAACAAAGAGACGCATGCAGTGAGAAATCATCTTCGTTGAATTCTGAATCAACATGCTCGTGTCCATCAAACTCAGCAAGGCCCGTGAATGTCTCAATGCGAACTTCTTTTGCTGCAATATCTTCATCTATGAGTGCAATGTTCCCCATCATCGTGTCTCTCTTAATACCTGACGTGGAAACCAGGAAATTGATGACCCTTTACAAATTTTGAATATTGAGATAATTTATATTACTTGTTCATCTTAGTGTGTCTCTATGAATGCCAAATGATAGCAAACATAAAAATAATACCAGACACATCAGAAATGCAATTGAAGGCATTTCTTTCAAATGATCAAAATGAGGACTGTCATGCTCTCACGAATGTGACATACATAATATCAGACGCATCAACAGCTACTGAAACTGAAAACCTAAGAGACAGTAGCTTCAAAAACTAGTCCTACACGGTGAAGAAATCCACACCAAAAGAACTGCAAGTACACAGGAAACAGCATGTGAGCTCCGCATCCTACCTCGTACTTAAAGAGATGCAATTTGTAAAGAGAGAATAAAGTGCTTCATTTTTTTAGAATCACGACCATCCTGTTGAGCAGAGAAATTAAAGAACTCATAGGGAATCGATGTGAAAACGAAGTGCCGGTTGTTGACTACCTGACGCCCTCCCCCTCCTCCTTTATCCGGGCTTGGGACCGGCAGCGTAAGATAAACTTACACAGGCGGAGTTAGAGAAATAAAGAACTGTAAAAAGAAAATCAGTTATGGGCAAGATGTCAAGACCAATAGAACTGTAAAAGCAAAACAGTCCAAAAACACAACTAAGGACAACAGCGAGAAACTTGCATTGCTGGTCCAAAACAGAACGTGACATATCTAATACAGACTAAGGTATGAATACTAAAAATTAAACAGAGAAAACTTACATTCCACAAAAAAATCCATAAAAACAGTGGCAAGAAACTTGATAATTGTCCTTATCGTCAACAAAACTATCAACACGTTCACAAACTGACACAGAAAACTTAACACACAATGTTTCCATCAAAATTCAAGCACAATACGCAGAACATGCACATGCTCAGAAGCCACAAGTGCAGAGGGAGTAATTCAAAGGAAAAGAAAACATTAATTTGATTTTCAAATTTAGTATAGTAATTGAAATCATCAACCTTGAAACCTTTTGTCAATAAAAATAAAAAGAAAGTAAGATACTTGGGTGCAAAAGAAATGTATTATAAAGCATTCAGTGCATTAAAATTGGAAACAATCCTAGAAGCACATACATACACATGACTGGGGGAAACACAGTAGACCTGAGGTGCAGCAAAGTGAAAGGCAAGTAATGGATCAGTACAGCAGAGAAGAAGGCCCAGGTAATCACGTATACCAAATTTGTTAATTAACTAATGAACCAAAAGAAATCAGAGCATATATACTAAGAACGGAAATAAAATCTATACTGATCATAACTGTGCTTCTATATGCACGCCATGGAAATTAGACAGCTGCTGTCACCTCTACGTCCCTTTATTGATCATTCACAGAATCGCTCATCCACAAACAGTCTGTCCAGTAATTGAACCCATCTAACAGTTGGCTGAATTCGTCAATTTGAGGCCACTCCTGGGGCAATTTACCTTCAAGCGTTGTCAACCATTCTTTAATGTCTCCACGCACTGCTTCACCATCTAAAGGATATTCCCTGCCGCCCAAGAATATCGGAGAAGAAGGAACATCACTCATCAGTGGCACACATTCATGATCTGAAATATGAGTGGGAAAGGGCATCACATTTCCATTAATGTAGCTTATGCACCCCTGGTCGTGATTGCTAGTGTCGCTGTCCAAGCATATGGGATAAGAAGGAACATCACTCATCAATATCACACTATCCGGTGTTGGATTTGTGACCAAGTGGACAACAAGACAATATAACTTTCGGCTATTAAAATATGAAAAAGGTGGACAACACCTTACCTTGTTTTAGGGAAGAAAAAAGGGAAAAGGTTTTCTTTCTCTTCTACACCCGTGGGTTTTGGTCCTTTATGTTTTGGTGGTTGCCTTTGCAGCCTAATAATAAAATAAGAGAAAGAGATAGAAAGCTAAGGAGGGTGAGTAGAAAGAGTGGAGCTCATTTTATGTTTTGAGCTGAATACAGAAAGCAAGGAGAGCAGAGGAGAGAGCATTCGGCTCTCCCAATTGAAACAGTGCTGCTCCTTCCCATTTGTTTGTAATCCCCTTTTGTTAGTGATCACTCAATCAAAGATATTTGTGCTACATTTTGTGGCTTTTGGGAGAGAAGGAATTTGGTATATGTTTCCATCTTCTCCATTTGTTCTTTGTGAGAGTGAGAGCTATTGGGTGTATGTGGGCTATTGGGTTTGAGAGTTAAAACTCTATTTGTAATCTCCTTTTGACATTAGTGGAATTTCCTCGCCGTCTCGGAACTGGATGTAGGCTTACGCCGAACCAGTATAAATCCTTGTGCCTTTCATTGGATTATTTGTCTTGTCATATTTTGCCGTATTATCTTTGGTTTCACATTTGAAGCTTCCGCACAACAAGTGGTATCAGAGCTCTGGGTTTCGACTTGGGGCTTTGTACAAGTATGTCTATGAAACCATCGAATATGTCGGTGAAATATGATATTGAAAAATTCAATGGGAGGAATGATTTTAGCCTTTGGCGGGTTAAGATGCGAGCTGTGCTAGTTCAACAAGGGTTGCTTAAGGCGCTACAGGGTGTGGAAGCCTTGCCACAAGATTGGTCTGCTGAAGAAAAAGAAGACGCTTTGAATCGAGCACATAGTGCAATTATGTTATCACTATCTGATGAAGTTCTTCGTGAGGTGGATAATGAAACTACTGCAGCTGGTTTGTGGCTTAAGTTGGAGAGTAGATATATGACCAAATCCCTCACCAATCGTTTGTATTTGAAGCAACGTTTGTACACTCTCCGTATGACTGAAGGTACGCCTATTCAAAATCATCTTGATGAGTTTAATAAAGTTATTATGGATTTGAAAAGTATGGATAATAAAATTGATGATGAGGATCAATCTTTGATTTTGTTGTGTTCTTTAACTCCTTCGTATGCGAATTTTGTCGAAACTTTGTTATATGGGAGAGATTCTATTTGTATGGAGAATGTAAAAGCCGCTTTGAATTCAAGAGAGTTAAAGAACAAAGTATTTGGAAATTTGAATGATTCTCATTCTGAGGCTTTGATAGCAAGAGGCAGAGATAGGGAATATGGTTCAGGTAGTAATAAAGGAAATTTGAGATCGAAGTCTAAGACCAGAAACAACACATGCAACTATTGTCGCAAGGAAGGGCATTGGAAAGTTGATTGCCCAAAACTGAAAGATAATGCTAGTGCGAGTGCGAATGTCGTCGATGACGACTTCGACTTTGTTCTATGATGACAATTGGCTACACCAGATTTGAAATTTTTGGATTAAAAAAAAAAAAAAAAAAAAAAAAAAAGAGAATCTGGTGTTGTGGGTAATCTTAAATCTCTCCACTACATATGGAGATTTAAGAGTTTGTAAGGATTCCTTGTTATGATTTGAGAAAGTTGCTTAGTAGCCTCTATGTATGTTTGTGTTATGTCAGTTGCTCTTCATCGGTGTTTTTTTATTGTTTTGGATATTGGTATGGTTTTGCTTTTTTTGGTAAAGTTGAATTCAGTGAGGGCCAATTTGTTGAGTTCTGCAAGTTTGGATAGTGAGGCACCACACTATTTTGGATACACCACATGCACTGCAGAACATTTGTGTGGAACCCTCGTGTAGAAGGCAAGTTATATGCTTTCTAACTTTGTTTGGGCTATGGACATTTGGTTGGATTTGTTTGCCACTGCTATTTGGTCTATTGGTCTCCATCATCTGCAATTAGTTTTCTTGAAGACTCCAGTTGAGGTATGGTTTTGGATCTCCTACTGATTATTTGAATTTGAAATTTTGGTTGTCCTGTTGGTGCTCATGTGATGATGGTAAACTTGAGTGAAGGGCATATTTTCGTATGTGGTATGTGAGACTTTGTTGCCAAATTTGTAATCAGTTTTGACTTGGAGAATGTGCCATGCTATGTGAATGAGTCTATTGGTGCAGTTTAAGACCATGGTGTTTGTGAGCAGGTGGAGTTCATTGTGTGTCCAACTTTGGTATGGTGTACTTGATCTTTTGTTGGTGATATTGAAGAATCTCAGTTCTTTGTTTGAATCACCTTTTGTTTTGATCAAGGCACTTATGGTTTGCAAAATTGGAGAAGACGGTAGAGAAATGGTCTACTTTTGTTGGCTTTGGTACAGTTTGAGTCGAGGTGGAAATTGTTATGAGCACTGGTAAGTTTGGGGAATTTGATTTAGTTCCCGTTGTCTTTAGTGTGTACTTTGGGTGCTTATGGTGATTGTTGATTCGATTCTCTGTGATGCTTTCGGAACTTGGTCAAGGTGGAGATTGTTGGATTTGTGACCAAGTGGACAACAAGACAATATAACTTTCGGCTATTAAAATATGAAAAAGGTGGACAACACCTTACCTTGTTTTAGGGAAGAAAAAAGGGAAAAGGTTTTCTTTCTCTTCTACACCCGTGGGTTTTGGTCCTTTATGTTTTGGTGGTTGCCTTTGCAGCCTAATAATAAAATAAGAGAAAGAGATAGAAAGCTAAGGAGGGTGAGTAGAAAGAGTGGAGCTCATTTTATGTTTTGAGCTGAATACAGAGAGCAAGGAGAGCAGAGGAGAGAGCATTCGGCTCTCCCAATTGAAACAGTGCTGCTCCTTCCCATTTGTTTGTAATCCCCTTTTGTTAGTGATCACTCAATCAAAGATATTTGTGCTACATTTTGTGGCTTTTGGGAGAGAAGGAATTTGGTATATGTTTCCATCTTCTCCATTTGTTCTTTGTGAGAGTGAGAGCTATTGGGTGTATGTGGGCTATTGGGTTTGAGAGTTAAAACTCTATTTGTAATCTCCTTTTGACATTAGTGGAATTTCCTCGCCGTCCCGGAACTGGATGTAGGCTTACGCCGAACCAGTATAAATCCTTGTGCCTTTCATTGGATTATTTGTCTTGTCATATTTTGCCGTATTAGCTTTGGTTTCATATTTGAAGCTTCCGCACAACATCCGGATCAGAGAAATCAGTCGGCTTCATATTGCCGTTAATGTTGGTTATGCACTCCTGATCATCATACCTAGTGTCAGTAATCATATTGCTTTCAATTCCAACAAAAGGCACAACAGCAGGGGTATTGGTGATCACATTCACATTAGAATGTTTTTGTGAACCCGGTTCTTTTCTTGCTCTATTTCTCTTAATCAGCGGCTTCTCATTCGATACTTCTTTTCTTGCCCTCTTAATCGGTGGCTTCTCATTGAAGTCGTGAGTTGGACTTGAGGAATTCATCTTGCTTCCACACCTAGACCTCAGATTCATTTTAAGTCGGGAAAGAACGACCTTTGGGCCAGCAACTACATTAGGAAGAAGACTGTATTCTTCTAACAGCCAGCCGCCATTGTTATTAGAACCCTTGTTGTTATACCTGAAATGCCCTTTGTCCCCGATTGGAATTCCGTCCAAACCTAAAACTTTGTCGGAGGATGTTTCGCTCCAAGTGCCTCCGGCTTCAATCTGGCGTTTGCTGCGGCTATCGCTGTCACTTCTAGAACGCAGCTCGTAGAAGAAGAACAAGTCCTGATCGAGTAGGGAATTTTCGCCGAACTGCTCCCAAACCACCCACGGTGGTGTTTGTCCGAAGAGATTGAACTCTTGAATAAACGGCTTGCCCAAGGGCTTTCCGGAGAGGGCTCTGTCGCGAAGATAGGAACTGACCAATTCTTGATCAGTAGGATGAAACCGAAAACCCAATGGCATACCGTAATAACCCACCTCCATTGCTAAACGCGATTTCAATTCAATGCAATTCAAAACAAAACAAATGCAGCAGCAAAAACCCTAATTTTTTCTTGGGCACAAAATAAAGAAGAGAAAATAAGCGAGAAATTAAAGAGAAGAAAAAGGGAAACCTGGAAGCCGATAGCAGCTCGTCGACGTCTCCTCAATCGCGGTCTTCGTCCCCAAACAAGAGCAACCGAAGAGGAATCGATTTCGAGTATTCATAATTCAATTCAACCGGAGACTGTTGGAGCACTGAATTCTAATTCTGGTTCAAATTCGGACGCGCAGAGAGAGCGAGAGAGAAAGATCTTGAGAGAGAGAGACAGAGAGAGAGAGAGTGAGTGGATTTGAAATTTAAATGAAAGAAAATATGACCGTTTGGTTTGGGAATTGGATGTTAACGTTGCGAACTTGCAAGGCTCACCGCTTAAGCGCGGGTTTTAATCACGTGGCATTTTCATATCTACCACACCCTATATCCCCAAATTGTGAGCCGAATGACTAAAATAACGCAGGGAAAAAAAACAAAAAAAATTCGATTGGCCCATTTGTTTTTCTGCTGGGTCCAGTTCTTTTGGTTATCTGGCATTTTATTGTCAATTTTTTTAGATTTTTATATTAAATTAATGAACCCAAACATTTAAGGGTGAAAGTTGGATTGAAAGTTGATTACGACACGAAAAAGATTTGTTTCATATTTGTATTCACATAGCGTTGCATGATTGACATGAGAAGCTATTGTCACGATGTTTCTATGTTCAAGCCACAATTACGATTTCCTATGATTGACACGATAAGCCATAGTCACGATATTCACATAACGTTGCATATTCATTTTTCATAGGAGTAACAAGATTTTCTCCCAGCTCTAATACACCTTTTATGTTCTTCCTGTCCAAAACTATGTTGGAGAAGATTTCATAAGAAACATGTCCAGAATCAGTCATTAGCAGATTGATTATTCATGAAACGAAACGTAGATGTCGAAACAAACAGTGATAAACTGAGTACTACTGTTCGCCAACGTCTGAAAATTGAAACCAAAACTAGTGTGCTGAAAGAAATGACAAGAACAAAAGCAAGTGCAATCAGAACTATTGGGAACTTCATGTACATTCATATGTATATTGTCTACACATTTCCTCAACATTGACAAAAGTACGGAGTAAGACCACCAGCTAGACGAAATAACAGAATGAAAACTATTCTATCCACAACAATAACAACAAAAAAGCTTTTTCCCACTAAGTAGGGTCGGCTATATGAATCCTAGAACGCCATTGCGCTCGGTTCTATGTCACGTCTTCCGTGTAAATAAAAAGACTGAAAACTAATAAACTAACTATGATTAAACCGGAAGTCGGAAAGAAAAAGCTGAAAGGTAACCGTGCTCATCTGAATTCTTGAACTCTACTAGTAGTATAAAAACAAGAGCTGACGCTAATAGCTTGACAACTTGATTCAGGCAAGACGTGTATACTCCGTGTAAAGTCCTCTTCCTCCTGCTCCGCTTCTAGATGATGATGATGGTGAGCAAGCAAATCAAGAGAAAATGGAGAACCGAGGCCCGTGGCCTTCCTATGTTTCCAACCACAACTGGCAAAATAATGATTTGAAAAGGAGGGAATGGGATGATGGTGATGAGCAGAGTAGTGTGATCAGGCTCAGTAGCTTGATGTACATGATCTTGATTTGGGTCTTCATCATCCTCTCCTCCAATATGATTAAACAATTCAGTGATCAAGTCCTCATCATCCAACCCTCTTTCATCCGTGGTTCTTGGCCCCTCCTCAAGTTCTCCTCAATCCCATGATGATGATGACCAAGATGAGTAGTCAGCCGAGGGACACCAGCAGCCTCGTCTGCAGCAGAGGCCGCAACAGCAGAATCAGGCAGAAGCTCAAAGTCGTCAATTAAGGATCTTAACATATCATCATCCAAGCAATCATTTGCTTCGGTGGTGCTGCTTGAGGACCCCTCGTGATGAAGTAGATCATCAAGCTCCCTAATCGAGTCCTCCATTACCAAAAGATCATCATCCGAATCATGAGTCCTCTGCCTCTTGACCGTATCACCCAAAACCGTAACGGTATCATCGGAATCAGAATCAGGGAAACGCGGACAGTGGGCCTCAAATCTTGACCCCTCATCTCCAATTTTCCAATTTCTTCACGAAACACAAGACAAACAGACGAAAGCAGTGTGCTTTCTGCGAAAACCAAAAACCTAAGTGGATAATGTGGAAGAAGAAAAAGCAACACTTTCCAAACACAAGGGCTAATAAAGAAGATCAGCGAAGAGTGCGACTGAATTGATTATACAGGATTTGGGGATTAGGGTTTCTTGTTACAGTGCTAGACAGACAGAAATTAACGATACCGAGAAATAAAACAGAAGAAAAGGCAAGAACTGAACCTGGAACTGGGAACAAGTCGTTGACTTTCTGCTCAAAGAAGAGGATGTATTCGTCCCCAAATTTGAATCGAGCTTCCAATTTCTGCTCAGAGAGAGATCAAGCGAGAGAGAGAGAGAGAGAGAGCAACAAATTTGAATTGGGCTTCGAATTCGGACGCACACAGAGAGAACGCAACAACGCAACACGATCGTTTGAGCGAGAGAGAGAGAGAGAGAGCGATCCAGAGATCCAGTGAGGGAGTGGGATGGGGGTTTTGAAATTTAAAGAAGGGAAACTATGACCGTTGGGGAATAGTACCGCTTAAACGCGGGTTTCATCACGTGCCGTTTTCCCTCTGCTCTTCGGCGCCTGCGAGTGGGAACCACTCCCCAAAGGGCCCGGCCTGGCAATTCTGACACAACCAGATAATCTGACACGACATGACACGACACGAAATTAACAGGTCTTCGGGTCGACACGATAACGAATCGGATCATTATCGGGTAACCTCATAAGCACCTGTTAAGATAACGGGTTGATTGGGCATACACGTAGGTAACACGATACACGATAAGCAGAATATTATTTTTATAATTTTATAACCCTAAAAAAATACAGTAATAATTATATATATTAATTTAACAATTTTATACCCCTAAAAACTATAATATATATGTATATATATTAAATTTACTATAATAATTATACCCCCAAAATATTAACTATCTATAATAATTATATATATATATATATATATATTAAATTTTGAATTAAATTTTATAAAAACTATAATAATTATTAATTAATATGCATTCATTGATTTGATTCCATAATTGATAATTCCATTCCATTCCCTGCAGTGCCGCCCTTTTTGAAGAAAAAGGGAGGGAAAATGAAAGTGATAAGAAAAGTTGAAAAGGAAACATTAAGAGAGGGAATTAGGGAAAGATGGGTAGGCACCGTAGGCTGTCAGATGGAAAAGTGAAAATTATAAGAAAAGTTGAAAAGTAAACAAAAAAGAGAGGGAAAAATGAAAATTAATAGAAGTGGTGAGATTTTTTTTTTTTTTAAGTTATTAACTTTTTATCACATATATGACATATCTCACTATTTTTATAATGACTCACATGATATACTCCTCCGTATACCAATCAATTATATGTACAAAATAAATAGATTTAAATCTACTTAATAAATATATATACACACACACACACACCATTGAACTTGATGGGATACGAATTCTCCGAAACTAATTTCAACGATCCCAACCGTCAAACTTATTTGTATATGCTTCGAGATCACATCAGCAAAAAATTGCAAAAAACAAACATTTAGATATCAAGTAACGGGACAAAGCTTTTCGACGGTTATAAACGAAAAATCACTATTTAACGGCTATTTTAACTTCGATTTTGATGATTTTTTACAGCTACACTCATTGACCCTATATGAATACAATGAATGAATTTGATCTTCAATTTAAAATATTTACACAAGTGGATACCACAAAATCTTATGTTATACTTGATGAAAGTATAAATAAACTCCAAGTGTTAGTCAATCTATTGTTTTTATGGGATACGAATTCTCCGAAACTAATTTCAACGATCCCAACCGTCAAACTTGTTTGTATATGCTTTGAGATCATATCAGCAAAAAATCACAAAAAACAAACATTCAGAGATCAAGTAACGGGACAAAACTTTTTGACGGTTATAAATGAAAAATCACGATTTAACGGTTATTTTAACTCCGATTTTGATAATTTTTTACAGCTACACTCCTTGACCCTATATGAATACAATGAATAAATTCGATCTTCAATTTAAAATATTTACACAAGTGAATACCATAAAATCTTATGTTATACTTAATGAAAGTATAAATAAACTCTTAAGTGTTAGTCAATCTATCGTTTTGATGGGATACGAATTATCCGAAACTAATTTCAACGATCCCAACCGTCAAACTTGTTTGTATATGCATCGAGATCACATCAACAAAAAATCACAAAAGACAAACATTCAGAGATCAAGTAACAGGACAAAGCTTTTCAACGGTTATAAACGAAAAATCACGATTTAACGGTTATTTTAACTCCGATTTTGATGATATTTTACAACTACACTCCTTGACCCTATATGAATACAATGAATAAATTTGATCTTCAATTTAAAATATTTACACTGGTGGATACCACAAAATCTTATATTATATTTAATGAAAGTATAAATAAACTTTAAGTGTTAATCAATCTATCGTTTTGATGGGATACAAATTCTCTAAAAACTAATTTCAATGATCATAACCGTTAAACTTGTTTGTATATGCTTTGAGATCACATCAGCAAAAAATCACAAAAAAAAAAACATTCAGAGATCAAGTAACGGGACAAAAATTTTCGACGGTTATAAACGAAAAATCACGATTTAACGGTTATTTTAACTCTGATTTTGATGATTTTTTACAATTACACTTCTTGACCCTATATGAATATAATGAATGAACTCGATCTTCAATTTAAAATATTTACACTAGTGGATACCACAAAATCTTATATTATACTTAATGAAAGTATAAATAAAATCTAAGTGTTAGTGAATCTATTGTTTTGATAGGATACGCATTCTATGAAACTAGTTTCAACGATCCAACCGTCAAACATGTTTGTATATGCTTCGAGATCGCATACGTCAAAAATTTCAAAAAAAAAACATTCAGAGATCAAGTAACGGGCCAAAACTTTTCGACGGTTATCAACGAAAAATCACGATTTAACAGTTATTTTAACTCCAATTTTGATGATTTTTTACAACTACACTCCTTGACCCTATATGAATACAATGAATGAATTCGATCTTCAATTTAAAATATTTACACAAGTGGATACCACAAAATCTTATGTTATGTTTAATAAAGTATAAATAAACTCTAAGTGTTAGTGAATCTATTGTTTTGATAGGATACGCATTCTACGAAACTAGTTTCAACGATCCAACCGTCAAACATGTTTGTATATGCTTCGAGATCGCATACGCTAAAAATTTCAAAAAAAAAACATTCAGAGATCAAGTAACGGGACAAAACTTTTCGACGGTTATCAACGAAAAATCACGATTTAACGGTTATTTTAACTCCGATTTTAATAGTTTTTTACAGCTACACTCCTTGACCCTATATGAATATCATGAATGAACTCGATCTTCAATTTAAAATACTTAAACTACTGGATACCACAAAATCTTATATTATACTTAATGAAAGTATGAATAAACTTTCAAGTGTTAGTGAATTTATCATTTTAATGGGATACGCATTCTATGAAACTAATTTCAACGATCCAACCGTCAAACGTGTTTGTATATATTTCGAGATCACATAAACCAAAAATTGAAAAAAACAAACATTCAGATATCAAGTAACGGGACAAAAGTTTCGACGGTTATCATTGAAAAATCATGATTTAACAAATATTTTAACTCCGATTTTAATGATTTTTTACAGCCACACTCCTTGACCCTATATGAATACAATGAATGAATTCGATCTTCAATTTAAAATATTTACACTAGTGGATACTATAAAATCTTATGTTATACTTAATGAAAGTATAAATAAACTCTTAAAAGTGTTAGTGAATCTATCATTTTGATGGGATACGCATTCTACAAAATTAATTTCAACGATCCAATCGTCAAAGTTATTTATATATGCTTCAAGATCGTATACGCTAAAAATTGCAAAAAAGAAACATTCAGAGATCAAGTAAAGGGACAAAACATTTCGACGGTTATTAATGAAAAATCACGATTTAACGGTTATTTTAACTCCGATTTTGATGATTTTTTTACAACTACACTCCTTGACCCTATACAAATACAATGACTAAACTCGATCTTCAATTTAAAATATTTACACAAGTGGATACCACAAAATCTTATGTTATGCTTAATGAAAGTATGAATAAATTCTTAAGTGTTAGTGAATCTATTGTTTTGATGGGATACTATTCTATGAAACTAGTTTCAACGATCCAACCATCAAACATGTTTGTATATACTTTGAGATTGCATACGCCAAAAATTTCAAAAAAAAAACATTCAGAGATAAAGTAATGGGACAAAACTTTTCGACAGTTATCAACGAAAAATCACGATTTAACTGTTATTTTAACTCCGATTTTGATGATTTTTTACAGCTACAGTCCATGACCCTATATGAATACAATGAATGAAATTGATCTTCAATTTAAAATATTTACCCACGTAGATACCACAAAATCTTATGTTATACTTAATTAAAGTATAAATAAACTCCAAGTGTTAGTGAATCTATCGTTTTGATGGGATACGCATTCTACGAATAATTTCAATGATCCAACCGTCAAACTTGTTTGTATATGCTTCAAGATCGCATACACCAAAAATCGCAAAAACCAAATATTCAGAGATGAATTCAATCTTCAATTTAAAATATTTACACTATTGATACCACAAAATCTTATGTCATGATGATCGATGAAAATTGAGGATTTTGTAAAAGGAATAACATGCAAGCTCTGAGTTCCATTGGCAAGGTTTAAACTTTTGAGAAAGGCTTCACAACCTTGAAAACAAAAACTTTTTCATTTTGCATATCCTTGCACATTTAATATTTTGTAATAGATTAGTAGTGTATGGATGTTTGTTTATTAGACTCTTATTTTCAAGTGTAGATGTAGTACTTAAACGACAAATGTGTTTTAATGTTTTGAAGTAATATTTATGTGGCAATGTGTGGTATGTGCAAATTTAAGAAAAAAAATATTTTTCTTAACGGGTCGGGTCACTTTACCTGTTGGGTAAAGTGACCCGACCTGTTAAGGATCCGTTAAGATAACGGGTGTGACACGACACGACCCGTTAAGATAACAGGTGTTACACGAAAACGACACGAACACGGCAGACACGACCCGTTTGCCAGGCCTAGCCCAACCCAACCACATTGTGTATCGAATGACTAAATTACCCACGAATTTCAAATCATGCAGATCGCAGAGCTCGGGGTATTTTAGTCAAACCAAAAACTCAAAAGCTCAAAGGATCGCAGAATCGTATCACTCTCTTGGTTACGAGTTGATTGTTTGATCCAGATGTATAGAAGCGTGGTGTTTGGTAGTACGCGATGCGAGTAAGGTGTTCAATAAGATTTTGAAGTCGATAGAAGTAATCGCTGAATTTGTCCACCATCATTTATTTTGAGTTATTCAGTAAAAAATCGTATTAAGTATGGATAAAATGACGAAAATGCTCTCAATTTAATAAACAATGAGCGAAAATAATTTAATAAAAATTAAGGATATTTTTAACATTTTATATTTATCTGATGAAAATTTTACACAGAATAACTAAAATGATTGATGGCGGACAAACTCAGAGACTACTTCTATGGAACTCAAATCTCAATGAACGAAGTGATGAATTATGCTAATCTCAATAACCATTTTAACTATAAAACTTTAATAGACCAAAATTGTACAATTCCTCCTTCGTATTATTTCCACACACCTTTATTCCCAGCCCATCAAATTTCCTCAAGCATTAATATACTATTTTGCCATGATTTTCTAATTATTTAGACAAAACATTTTCCAAACATCGATTGTACACATGTTTAATGACTTTGAAACAAAAAATGGCCACATGTTAATTAGCAAAATATATTTCAAGTAAAAATAGGATAGAATTGGCCAGTATCCTGAGCATCATCAACAAAGGTTAGGACAGAACAATACAAAACGAAACATGAATTACCAAGAATTCCACCAACTCACATAAAAGTGTTAATAAAAGTTAACTTTCAATGGTGTATCTGAAACTAAAACTAATCATGTTTTCACTTTGCACCACTCAATTCAACATAATTAATTAATATACTTCCAGACATTACAGGACCAGTGACCCAGCACCGAGCCCTACACCGGGCCATGAAAATTAAATTCAAACGAGCATATTTTAGTTTATTCAGAGCCCCGTATCCTGTGTAGCACCCAAACATAACATTGCATTAATGTTATCCAACGTGATCCAAAGCAATCTAACCCTCCCTCCTAATCCAATCCGAGTTACCAAACATGACCTGAGGAAAAAATTTAAGAGGATTTCAAACGCTAGACACACTAACCCATGCACACACGCGTAACTCGCGCATAAAACCTATTACCAAAAATGTTAATATTTCCCCACAATTTATCACATTAAATCCCCTTGCATACCAAAAGCAGTGGAAGTTATCGAATCAGCACACGAAAATTAGTGAAAAATAAGGGTTAGAGAAGGAGAAGAAAAACATAATACTCTAATTATGACAAGCACATAATGAAGGGGTATTCTTACCAGTGCCACAGTCAAAACAAAATATGACTCACCTATAGAGATAAGTTTTCGCTGAGATATTAAATACCAAAAGTTACAAAAGGAAACTTACATTCCAGCAAAATCCATAGGAGCAGAGGCAAGATACATCATAATTTTCATTATCACCAACAAAATTAACAGCATATTCACAACCCGGATAAGGACACCACTTGGTCTAGCAGCAAAGAAAAAGAATTACAAATCATGGTGAGAAAAATGGAAAAATATGAAGGAAGAAAAATGATATTCATAAATTCCACTATACCACACAAGAGTAATAGAGAGGAATTGAAAAGAAAATAAACCACTAATAAAAAAATGATACTCATATATTCACACTCACACGCTCACACAGGCACAGGAGTAATTGAAAAGAAAAGAAACCACCAATCATTTTTCAATATAGTAATTAAAATTGGGGATACTTTGAATGCGGTCCCTAATTCTTAACACTCTTTGACTAAAACCTTAATGGTATTCAAAGTTTGATCAAAGTCCCTTGAATTTGTACACCTCATTATATTACTATTGATATATATATTTTTATAGTTTTGACATTAATTGTTTGATATTTTATGACATTTATAATCCTATAAATTTAAAATCCCTCATTATGATACTATTAAAAATGGCTACAATAAAAAAATTCAAACATTTTGATTGAATAAATGGATAAAAACTATGTAACAATAAGAAATAATAGTGTTAAAAAAAATTGGTACATTTCTCATATAACAAAGTGTTAAAAAAAAACAGATGGCAAAAGAATGTAGCCATAGTGTTAAAAAAATTGGTACATTTCACATATAACAAAGTGGTAAATTAGTAAAGTAGAATGGGTACATTATAAATAAAATAGGGTACAAATAAAAGATTAAAAAATTATGAGTACAAATGAAATTTTAAAAAATAAGGGCACAAAAAGAAATTAATACATGGGTACAAATTAAAACTAAATATAAAATACTACAAATTTAAAAAAAGGTTACAAATTAAAAGTGGATACAAACTAAAAATATAAATATATGATACAAAGTTTAGCCATAAATATAAATATACCATACGTAATTTTTCTGTTATAGAGTACAACTTTTTCTCCTGCCATTTAATGCATAGAAAATAAAACATGCACAATTGCTTGCAAGCAAACACAAAGTCACGGTTGCTGCAATTTCCTTGTAGCATTCACATGGCCTTCAATTGTGGTCATATTGAAGACTAATACTATTCAAAAATTCCAAGCGTCAACTCCACGCTTGACGGGAAGACTTGACCGACCGGGTCAGTCAACACTGGCACCATACTGCTCTTGATTGAGTTGAAAATCCTTTCAGAAATTCCAAGCGTAAAGAAAGGATTAGAAACTCTGCACCTCCAAAGTTGTTACTAGCTCCCATATTTATTTGTGACGCATACAGACTGGCGAAAAAACATATCATACTGCAACTCAAAACCATGACATTTCTTTATATGCTCCTGCTGCTGTCCGCATTGCCACTGATCAAAACGACATCAATAGCGCCAAGAAAACAAGCAGAATCGCTCGTCAAATGGAAGGACGGCTGGTCTTCATCATGGCCACTCAATTCATGGTCCCTCACCAACCTCAACAGCCTCTGCAAGTGGACTGCCATTTCCTGCTCCCAAACCAGAACAGTCTCCAAAATAGACCTCTCCAATATGGCAATTGACGGAACACTGTCGCTTTTCGACTTTCCCTCATTTCCAAATCTCACCCACTTCAATCTAAATGGAAACTATTTCGATGGGCCTATACCATCTGAGATTGACCAGGTAACAGAGCTTCAGTATCTAAATCTCCGCGACAACAGGCTCTCTGGTACCATCCCTTATCAACTGAGCAATCTCAAAAAGGTACGGTACATGGACCTTGGATTAAACTATTTTAACAATACTGATCAAGATTGGTCAGAATTTGCAGGCATGCCCTCATTGACCTACCTTGCTATGTCTATGCAACGTGATAGTCTATATCATTCAGAATTCCCAGAATTTATATCTCAATGCCGGAACTTGACGTTCCTCGACTTGTCTCAAAATAAATTGAATGGCCAAATTCCACCTTCGATAGGCCAACTCAGGGAGCTCCAGTACCTTGATCTTTCATACAACTCCTTAAGCTCTTCTATCCCTTCTGAGCTCGGTCTTTGTACAAACCTCACCCACTTGTTCTTGGCTTTCAATGAACTCAACGGGGAACTGCCTCTGTCCTTGTCCAATCTGAACAACCTCGTCGAATTGGGTTTAGCTAATAACCATATCTCTGGCACGATTCCACCTTCGATAGGCCAACTCAGGGGGCTCCAATACCTCAATCTTTCATACAACTCCTTAAACTCTTCCATCCCTTCTGAGCTTGGTCTTTGTACAAACCTCACCCACTTGTCCCTGGCTTCCAATCAACTCAACGGGGAACTGCCTCTGTCCTTGTCCAATCTGAACAACCTCGTCGAATTGAGTTTAGCTTATAACCGATTTTCAGGCACGATTCCGGACAATATAGGTTTGATTTCTGGTCTTCAAAGTATTGACCTGAGAATGAATCATCTGGAAGGGAAAATTCCATCCTCTGTAGGCCAAATCAGGGAGCTCCAGTACCTTAATCTTTCATACAACTCCTTAAACTCATCAATCCCTTCTGAACTTGGCCTTCGTACAAACCTCACCCACTTGTCCTTGTCTTCCAATAAACTCAATGGGGAACTGCCTCTGTCCTTGTCCAATCTGAGCAACCTCGTTGAATTGGGCTTAGATAATAATCTATTTACTGGTCAAATCCTTCCTTCTCTGGTCTCCAATTGGATTAATATGGAATCTTTGCAACTTCAGTCCAATGAACTCAGTGGGGAGATTCCGACGGAAGTTGGAAATATGAACTTTCTGTTGACGCTCAATCTAAGAAGGAACCACTTGACAGGAGTGGTCCCTCAGATTCTAGGCAATTTAGCTCTGCTTAAGCTGCTCGATTTGTCACACAACCATCTTTCGGGGCAAATCCCATCATTTGTCAACACGATTTTTCTTCGTGATGTTAATTTTTCTTATAACAACTTGACTGGCCGAATCCCATGCGTTTTCCAATGGGCACCAGAAAATGCTTTTGTTGGAAACTCTGGGTTGCATGGGTATGTAGACTCGTGTGTAGACAGTATACCCCCTCGGCACAACAGAAATTTCAAAAAGGATAACAAAAGAGTTCTAATTGGTATCCTTGTGCCTGTTTGTGGTTTATTAATGGTTACAACTATCATTGGTCTTATGTTCCGTAAAAAATCCAGTCTCGTTTTGAACAAAGTCAACACTTCTGAAAACTTTGAGAGTTTGGAGTCGATGATATTGCAAGAGGAAGTAAAGTTTACGTTTGCGGAAGTTGTGAAGGCTGTAGATGACTTTCATGAGAAGTACTGCATTGGGGTAGGAGGGTTTGGAAGGGTTTACAAGGCAGAGTTGCAATCAGGCCAAGTTGTTGCAGTTAAAAGGCTTAACATGTCAGACTCTAATGATATTCCAACAATCAATCTCCATAGCTTTCAGAATGAAATCCAAACTTTGACAAGCATCCGGCACCGGAACATCATAAGGCTCTACGGCTTCTGTTCAAGAAGGGGTTGCATATTCTTGCTTTATGAATACTTAGAGAAAGGAAGCTTGGGAAAAGTTTTGTATGGAGTTGAAGGTGTTAATGAACTCGTTTGGGCAACTAGAGTCAAAATTGTGCAAGGACTTGCTCATGCACTTTCTTACTTGCACCATGATTGCTCTCCACCAATTGTGCACCGTGACATAACCGTTAACAATGTATTGCTTGAGTCTGATTTCGAGGTTCGTCTCTCAGATTTCGGAATAGCCAGGTTATTGAGTACTGATTCATCCAACTGGACAGATATTGCTGGTTCATTTGGCTACATAGCACCAGGTAATGTAAACTTAATTTGTACATTTATGGTTCATCTTTTTGCTTATTGGGATATGTTTTAAGGTAGCCTGTTTTGTTTTTATTGATATGCAGAGCTTGCATACACTATGCGTGTTACGGATAAATGTGATGTATATAGCTTTGGAGTGGTGGCGCTCGAAGTCATGATGGGAAGGCACCCAGGAGATATGCTAGAGTCCCAGCTACAAGAATCATCAAAATCAAGGAGGGACAATGTAGAATTGCTCCTGAAAGATTTGTTAGACCAAAGGTTGGAACCGCCAACCAATGAATCTGCAAAGGCAGTGGTGCTCGTAGTGACAATGGCCTTGGCTTGTGTACGAACGTGTCCAGCGTCCAGACCTACGATGTTATTTACGGCACAAAAACTCTCAGCTCAAACCTTGCCTTGCCTTCCCAAACCATTTGGTATGTTGACAATCAACAAGCTAATGGCAGTATAAATAATAAAACAAAAAAGAAAAAGAAGAAAAGGGCGAATAGCTCAAACTTCCCTTTTGTATTCCTGCCACTCGCAGTTCCATCTAATTTCTCATGTAATACATCTTCAGTACTGTAATACTCATCTGTATGATTTGTCGAATGTGGATTAATGTGTGATGAATTTTCTTAATCGTAATTGCATTAAACCGATAATCCATAATGTGTCAAAATAACTCCACAATTAATAAAAAAACTTGAATTATGGATTTGTGTCCTTCCTCTAGTTCAAAGAGCTACCCTAAAAAATTGAACCTGCATGGATCATTTTCGCCATGGATTATTTTGAAAGCAAACACATATGGAACTACAGGATGCAATCTGACCTTGCATCTTTGAACCATGTCGCGCGTCGAAGTACATTTGATCTTCCAGGCATTCTTAAACTTTTCCGCTATGTCGAATATAGGTTTGTGCCTTTCCTCTCTAAATCTGCAACAGCCAGAACTGCTTTCACATTCACACTACAGAACAATAGAAGACACTTTGACACGACAATCTGTTAAATTAGCAAATGGGAAAGTGGTGGAATAACACCGTAGTATTGTGAGCAAGTCTCCCGCGTAGATCTATAGCTTCTGTGCGTTAAACCATCCACATAATGATAAAACAGCAAATCTATAGCTTCTGTGCGTTAAACCAAATCCCATCAGGAGTTGTTCTCATAATCTATAGCTTCTACACTGATTCATCAAACCAAAAGCACATATGGATTGGAGACAGTATAGTATCTGCTTACCGGTTGACTGGCTTCAAACGATTTTAAGCTGAAAATTTCTCGCAAAACTAATAAACAAGAAAAGAGAATGCAGCAATAGGGATTACAGTGAAATGTAAACAACCTACAAATAAGTTGACTGTGCAGAAGTCGCTGAAAGGGCGAAAATAACTGGATGAGATGTGACCCTTATCATGTTCAACTTCTATCGTCAGGTGATACTTTCAGGCCACGCTTTGCCTTAAACCAACTGTATATGATTGTTAAAAGACCGACCAAGACTGTTATAAGCGTCCAGATTTTCACTTTTTGGTTCATTCATCTACGCAATGAGACACGTTCTAACAAAGAGACGCATGCAGTAAGAAATCATCTTCGTTGAATTCTGAATCAACTCGCTTGTGTCCATCAAACTCAACAAGGCCCATGTTATACTTATGCCCTTCCGGGGTGACATGGAAAAGTTATTCCAGTTTGCTTCTGAATTCCAATCCGTTTTCTGCTCAAACGGCCAGAAAAGCGATTCATCAATAGTAGTTAGATCTTCCAAATCTTCAGCTTCAGACGCATGTCCTAATGCAAAATCACACCAGAATTAGATGACTGAAAGTTATAACCCCAGCAACTACTTCTGTAAGATGGGCTGGGAAAATCAGACACAAACCAATCTGACTTTGAATCTGTACCCGGCCTCCAAATCAAATCTCAAAGATCATCATCATGTTTTCTCTCACTACCTCTCTATCTGACCCTGCAGTGCAGCAGGGCAGACGCCTAACAAACTGCAAAACCACAATCAACACTTTGAAGAACTCTTCAAAATGAGATAATTTTAATACACTTCACCACTTCATACCAAAAAGTGCATACATAGACAACATGAAACAACAAATATGCCACAATTTGAAGCATGAAAAGGCAAGCATACCTTGCCTGCAGATAAGATACTATCGGAGGGAGGAACAGAAAAAGGTAGGTGCATTGGCCCTCCTTGCAATATACACTCCTTGACTGTACATAAATTTGAAGGTCAATAATGTCGAATAAGAAACAAGAGTATAAAGCATAGAAGGAAGCCTTGTTCAATTTGACAAAGACAGACTTTTCTGCAATCTAAAATCACGACCTATGAGTGCCATGTTCACCATCATCGTGTACTCTCTTAATACCTGACGTGGAAAACAGGAAATTGATGACCCTTTGCAAATTTTGAATATTAAGATAATTTATATTACTTGTTCTTCTTAGTGTGTCTCTATGCATGCCAAACGATAACAAACATAAAAATAAAGCAGACACATCAGAAATGCAATTGAAGGCATTTCTTTCAAATGATCAAAATGATAGTCAAATATGGGCTGTGAGGATTGTCATGCTCTCTCAAATGCGACATACATAATATCAGAAACATCAACAGCTACTGAAACTGAAAACCTAAGAGACAGTAGCTTCAAAAACTAGTCCCACATGATGAAGAAATCTACACCAAAAGAAATGCAAGTACACAGGAAACAGCATGTGAGCTCCGCATCCTACCTCGTACTTAAAGAGATGCGATTTGTAAAGAAAGAATAAAGTGCTTCATTTTTTAGAATCCCGACCATCCTGTTGAGCAGAGAAATTAAAGAACTCATAGGGAATCGATGTGAAAACGAAGTGCCGGTTGTTGACTACCTGACGCCCTCCCCCTCCTCCTTTATCAGGGCTTGGGACCGGCAGCGTAAGATAAACTTACACAGGCGGAGTTAGAGAAATAAAGAACTGTAAAAAGAAAATCAGTTATGGGCAAGATGTCAAGACCAATAGAACTGTAAAAGCAAAACAGTCCAAAAACACAACTAAGGACAACAGCGAGAAACTTGCATTGCTCGTCCAAAACAGAACGTGACATATCTAATATAGACTAAGGTATGAATACTAAAAATTAAACAGAGAAAACTTACATTCCACAAAAAAATCCATAAAAACAGTGGCAAGAAACTTGATAATTGTCCTTATCGTCAACAAAACTATCAACACGTTCACAAACTGACACAGAAAACTTAACACACCATGTTACCATCAAAATTCAAGCACAATACGCAGAACATGCACATGCTCAGAAGCCACACGTGCAGAGGGAGTAATTCAAAGGAAAAGAAAACATTAATTTGATTTTCAAATTTAGTATAGTAATTGAAATCATCAACCTTGAAACCTTTTGTCAATAAAAATAAAAAGAAAGTAAGATACTTGGGTGCAAAAGAAATGTATTATAAAGCATTCAGTGCATTAAAATTGGAAACAATCCTAGAAGCACATACATACACATGACTGGGGGAAACACGGTAGACCTGAGGTGCAGCAAAATGAAAGGCACGCAATGGATCAGTACGGCAGAGAAGAAGGCCCAGGTAATCACCAATACCAAATTTGTTAATTAACTAATGAACCAAAAGAAATCAGAGCATATATACAAGGAACGGAAATAAAATCTATACTGATCATAACTGTGCTTCTATATGCACGCCATGGAAATTAGACAGCTGCTGTCACCACTACGTCCCTCTATTGATCATTCGCAGAATCGCTCATCCACAAACAGTCTGTCCAGTAATTGAACCCATCTAACAGTTGGCTGAATTCGTCAATTTGAGGCCACTCCTGGGGCAATTTACCTTCAAGCGTTGTCAACCATTCTTTAATGTCTCCACGCACTGCTTCACCATCTAAAGGATATTCCCTGCCGCCCAAGAATATCAGAGAAGAAGGAACAGCACTCATCAGTGGCACATATTCATGATCTGAAATATGAGTGGGAAAGGGCATCACATTTCCAGTAGTATAAAAACAAGGGCTGACGCTAATAGCTTGACAACTTGATTCAGGCAAGGCGTGTATACTCTGTGTAAAGTGTTCTTCCTCCTGCTCCGCTTCTAGATGATGATGATGGTGAGCAAGCAAATCAAGAGAAAATGGAGAACCGAGGCCCGTGGCCTTCCTATGTTTCCAACCACAACTGGCAAAATAATGATTTGAAAAGGAGGGAACGGGATGATGGTGATGAGCAGAGTAGTGTGATCAGGCTCAGTAGCTTGATGTACATGATCTTGATTTGGGTCTTCTTCATCCTCTCCTCCAATATGATTAAACAATTCAGTGATTAAGTCCTCCTCATCATCCAACTCTCTTTCATCCGCGGTTCTTGGCCCCTCCTCAATCTCGTGATGATGATGACCGAGATGAGTAGTCAGCCGAGGCACAACGGCAGCCTCGTCTGCAGCAGAGGCCGCAACAGCAGAATCAGGCAGAAGCTCAAACTCGTCAATTAAGGATCTTAACAGATCATCATCCAAGCAATCATTTGCTTCGGTGGTGCTGCTTGAGGACCCCTCGTGATGAAGTAGATCATCAAGCTCCCTAATCGAGTCCTCCATTACCAAAAGATCATCATCCGAATCATGAGTCCTCTGCCTCTTGACCGTATCACCCAAAACCGGAACAGCATCATCGGAATCGGAATCAGGGAAACGCGGACGCTTGAGAGAAGAGACAGTGGGCCTCAAATCTTGACCCCTCATCTCCAATTTCCAATTTCTTCACGAAACACAAGACAAACAGACGAAAGCGGTGTGCTTTCTGCGAAAACCAAAAACCTAAGTGGGTAATGTGGAAGAAGAAAAAGCAACACTTTCCAAACACAAGGGCTAATAAAGAAGATCAGCGAAGAGTGCGACTGAATTGATTATACGGGATTTGGGGATTAGGGTTTCTTGTTACAGTGCTAGACAGACAGAAATTAACGATACCGAGAAATAAAACAGAAGAAAAGGCAAGAACTGAACCTGGAACTGGGAACAAGTCGTCGACTTTCTGCTCAGAGAACAGGATGTATTCGTCCCCAAATTTGAATCGAGCTTCCAATTTCTGCTCAGAGAGAGATCAAGCGAGAGAGAGAGAGAGAGAGAGAGCAACAAATTTGAATTGGGCTTCGAATTCCGACGCACACAGAGAGAACGCAACAACGCAACACGATCGTTTGAGCGAGAGAGAGAGAGAGAGAGAGCGCGATCCAGAGATCCAGTGAGGGAGTGGGATGGGGGTTTTGAAATTTAAAGGGAAAATATGACCGTTTGGGAATAGGACCGCTAAAACGCGGGTTTCATCACGTGCCGTTTTCCCTCTGCTACTTGGCGCCTGCGAGTGGGAACCCCTCCCCAAAGGGCCCAAGCCCAACCCAAC